AGAAGTTTAAACTCAGGCCAACAAGGACGTGGAGCCCTGTCCTCTGTGGTGAGAGGTGAGGCCAATACAGGCAAAACTGGTCATTAGCAGCAGGACAAGATGACAAGATGGGGTTGGGTGTGCTGGGTGGGCAGGGCTCCTATGGGTCTCTCAGATACACTGATGGGAAGTGGCAACTTGCACCCCCACAAGCCTCCTTGTCCCTGTGTCTTGAAGTGTGTGCCTCCCTCTCAGGGACTCTAGGTACTTTTCTCTGCTTCTGTCTCTACGTGATACTCCCTCGTTTATCTTTGAATTTTTGTCTTTCATTTCTTCCTTTTTTAAAAAAACCTGGGATCAAAGTGTGGATCTTGTGCTTTTGAGGCAGGCGGTGGCACCACTGAGCTAAATCTCAGGCCTTGGTTTATTCCTGTTTGTGTGTCTGCCTCTGCCTCTCACTGTATCTTTTCTTTATTTCCCCCAGAGTGGTTAGGGTTAAACATTTTTAGTTTTCATTTTAGTGGTACATTTTAGATATACATAATGATAACATTCATCATAGGGAATTTGTCCCTGCATGTGATATACCTTGCTTCTTCTTTTCTTATATTCCCCTTCCATCCCTTTAACCCCTCCCATCTTTTTCTGCCAAAGCCTTGTTTACATTTTCTCCCTTCCATTGTTTTTATTCTTGCCCCTTTTTTCTTTTGCCCTTTAAAAAAATATCATATGTTTGAAATTTGCTGTGTATTTTTGGAATTATAGCATATTTACCATAGGAACCCTAAAGTTTCTTCAGAAATCTTTGATTTGCATCTAGATTTTTATAAATTTTACCACTGAAAAAGATAATGCACATACCTAACTTGTTTCCAAATCTACATAAAAGTTTTCTAATAATTGAATTGTGTATCAATTTTTAATAATAAAATTCAATAAAGTTAAAATTTGATTGAGCTGGCCATGGAGTGCATATCTGTAATCCCAGCACTTGCGAGTGAGGGCATTGGATCACCACATGTTCAAGGCCGAAATGAAATACACTGACTGACTGACCCTGTCTCAATACAGAAGAGAACAGAACAGAATAAACAAAACAAAATACAAAAAATGAAACAAAACCAAAAGTTCCATTGGTCACACCACAAGTGTTTAATGGCCACATATGGCTATTACTTAGTGTAGAACAAATTTATCTCTAACCCACTGTGTGACCTTGGATGAGAAGCTCAACTTCTCTGGGGTTCACTCTCTCCATCTAGAAAATGGGGGAGGATGATAACACCTCCTTCAAAGTGTGAGGACTCTGTGTAAAGTACTTCATGCCTGTCCACCAGGAAGTCTCAGGCTGGAATAAAGACCCATTCTCAGTGTCAGATGACCCAGCAGAGCAGGAGCCAGGTCCTGAGATCAGGAAGGTCTGTGGTGGCACCACTCCAAGGTCAGAAAAGTGCAGGTTCCACCTCTAAAAGTTTGTGCTTCTCTGTCCCCTCCTCTTGCATCAATGGAGTATGACTCACCTGTCCAGGTCAGAGTCCTGGGTTAAGCAAGAGTTTGCTTAACATGGAAACAATGAGGCTGTCCAATACCCCCTTATACCTCACCTCATTCCCTTTAAAGAGGGGGAGGTGTCTTTAGAAAGAGAGAGTTCAGGGGTCAGGGACTTAGCTCAATGGTTCTGCCACCTGCCTCAAAAGTAGAAAGTCCCAAGTTCAATCCCTGGTATGAGAGAGAGAGAGAGCAAGCGAGAGAGAGAGAGAGAGAGAGAGAGTTCAAAAAATAAGAGAGAAATCAAACCTGGTATGGTGGTGCACACCAGTAACCCCTGCACTTTGGGAGGCTGAGGCAGGAGGATTGCAAATTCAAACCCAGTCTGGGCAAGTTTGTGACCTAATAAGACCTTGTTGCAAATGAAGAGATTAAAAAAGGCTGAGGATAATAGCTCATTGGGAAGGCCCTGGATTCAATCCCTAGTAGAAAAAAAGGAAATAAAAATGTAAAAACGCAGGTCAGACCAATACAGATGGACATGTCATTCTCTTATGTGGGAAATCTGCACTGTTCCTCTCAGGAGCTCTGTTGGTGTGGGGCTACAGTGAGTGTAGAGCCAGAGCAGAGCTCAGGGGACCTCAATGAAATTGGACCCATTTGCTGTGGTGTAAATGTCCTCTCCAAAGCTCATGTTAACTTTTAATTGCCTCAATACAGTCTTAAGAGATTGTAACTATGGTGGTACCTCAGTTCACAAACTTAATTTGTTCTATGAGTTTGGAAAAGATGGCAATGTTTGTGCTTGTGTGGGAAAGATGGTCACAATTGTGTTTGCTGCCTGATGCAGAGTTTGCAAACAAAACAAAATTTTCCCAAACACTTCTATTTGTGAGCCAAATTGCCTGCAAAGAAAAGCGTTTGTGAACTGAGGTACCACTATACCCAGTCTATCCACAGTATTTCATCCTTGTCTATGAGGGGTACATTCCAAGACCCTCAGTGGAATCCTAAAACATTGTAGGGTACTGAACCCTGTATATAGTATATTTTTCATATATCTATGTATCTATATCTGTGTAATAAAGAGTAAGTTATACATTAAACACATCAAGAGATTAATAAAAATTACTTAAATAGAAGAGTTATGTCATTATAATATAATAAGCTATATGAGTGTGGTCTCAAAATATCTTATGGTACTGTGCATCCCTTACCTTTTTTCTCCTTGTGATAATGTGAGATGATACAATGTCTATGTGATCAGATGAGGTGAGGTGAATGATATAGAAACTGTGATGCAATCTCGGGCTTCTCTTGAACTGATGTTACACCAGAAAGAGGAGTTGTGTGATCCCAGATTGTTGAGCTATGAGGGTGTTGATGGTTATACATGAGAAACAGACAATGTTAGTGGTTGGGGATCCTTGCTAGTTGAAAGTTCTTTTCTTTTTTGAAAGAACTTTGGGAAGAAGACTGTAATCAAAAGTTGTCTCCTTTTTAACACATCAAAGTATAGCTGCAGATGGTGTCATTCTTTGGTGACTGCCTGGGTGGCCTTAATGCTGCATTCCATTAGCATCATATTCCATAATTTTGTCCTTTAATAGCTGTGCACTTTGCAATACTTCTGCAAATTTCAGTAATGCCCCTACTGTTGTTTTCACTTCAGTTTCTACTCTTCTACTTTAGTTGATTTAAGAATTTTCCAATTCCTTGTTTGGGAACACTTTAATATGTCCTTCTCCTTCATCAAGCATGTGGACAAATCCTTCTTAAATGAATTTCAGTTCATTATCACTTACCGAGCCTCTGGTATTCTGTTATAGCAGAAAGCAGACTAAGCCAAAATAGGCTTCAGTGTTCAAAGGGGAAACAGACACATTGAGGAGAGAGAGAGAGAGAGAGAGAGAGAGAGAGAGAGAGAGAGAGAGTGTTGGAGAATTCCCACATTGTGCAGACAGCGAGAGGCCTGGTGTGAACCACCCAGCACTGATGGGAGGAATTGGAGACCAAGAGGACTCACTCCCCCTCTATTGCTGGGTCTCACCATCTCGGCATCTCGTCTTCCCTCTGTTTGCCAGTGACTCCTACCTGTGGCTGTCACAGAACAGAGTGAGGGAGACACTGGAGAGGTGGACACTGGACTTCTGCAGGCCTTAGGGAGACTGGCTGGGAGATGCACACATACAGCAGCAAAAGTGCAGCCAGTGCAAGCAGGCTCACCAAGAGTTGTGGAGGTCCCTACCAGCTCCACTACTCAAATGCAAACACACCTTCACATGTGAAAGCAAATCAATACACACATGCTCCCACACATGCAAGAATATACACCGGAGTAAACCTGGATTGATACATGGAAATAGAGAACAGCACATTCACACTGACATAAAATAGGCCCTCATACATAAAAAATACGCAAGTATATACAGCCTCAAGAGGGCCTGCACAGACCAAACTAAGGAAACAAATGCACACTCACAATAGTGATGATACATGCATTGAGCACACAGACACACACTCCTGTGCACCATGGCATCTCTTTCACAGCATCACTGCCAATGTCTAAGGAGGGGCTAAAGGGCTTAGAGTGAGCAAGTTACCAGGCTGCCCAAACATGAATTATGGGTGCCTGGTAACTCTCCTCTAAGATCACAATCCTGGAAAACTACAAGAGAGGAGGCAGGGCTTGGATGCAGTTGCATAACTGGGTAAAAACACAGGCTGAGGATAAAAGGTTCAGCTCCAGGCTGCAGAGGGGTGGACGGCAGTCAGAACAGTATCATGGAACTCAGCTTTCTCTTACTCCTCACTCTCCTCATGGGTCTCTTGGTTCTCCTGTTCAGGGGCCACCCAAAGGCCCATGACTACCTCCCACCAGGCCCACGTCCTCTGCCCTTCCTGGGGAACCTTTTGCAGATGAACAGAAAAGGCTTGGTCAAATCCATCTTGCAGGTGAGACACAAATGGACAGGGCCCAGGATGGGCTGGAAGAGCAGTCTCCTTTCTGGATGAGGGTGGGTGGGGAAGATGAGTGTGTAAAGGTTGTGATCCTGGCTTGTGGTGGATAGTGGTCAGATTGCCACAGCTGTCCACCTCTGATGGAACTGTGGAGGGCACTGTCCTTAAGAGGAGGGGAAGATCATACAGAACTGTCAGGGTGAGAGCCTCAGGTGTAGATTTCACTCTCCTCTGACCCATCCTGTGTGTCTGACTAGAAGAGAGAGAAAGCGTGGGGTCACCAGTCCAAAAGTTTTTCCCTCTGTCAGCAGAGAGAACAAAGATTGGCCTGAGTCACTTCCAGGACAAACAGGAGGAAAGGGGAGAAAACAAAGGCATCAAGGAGTGCTTATCAGGGAGGGGAGAGGAAGGGGAAGTAAACAGGGTCAATATGTGATGTGTCATGCACCAGTTCCCCATGAGGAACACATTTATCATGTATCAGAAGTATACTAATAAGGCCAGGAATGGTGACACATATCTCTAATCCCAGCACTCAGAATGATGAGGCAGAAGGATTGTCATGAGTTTGAGGCCAGCTTGGCCTACACAGTGAGGACAAGACCAGCCTAAAGTACATAGTGAGACCTTGTCTCAAAAATAAAATACTAATAAAAATGGGGGAAAATCTTCTTTACTTCGTGGTTAGAATTCATTGATAGAATAAAAATTTTTTAATAATAAATTGTAATAAAAATTCTAATAAATAACAAATTCAATAACAGAATAGAATCAGCCTCCTTCATTACATGGTAAATGTTCAGTATGAAAATTTTTATTAATCTTGAGCAATTTCAGATGACAATAAAGGCATACAATGCAAAAAAATGTAGAAGGGTTATCAAGCAATTACTAGGCTCTGTGCCACTGCTTTGCACATATGATCTCAGGTTTCAGGATCTACTTTTGTGTGTTTATTTGCAGTAGTGGAGATGGAACCCTTGGCCTCTGCCCTGAGCTACATCCCCAACCCTTTTGCATTTTGAAATAGATTCTTGGTACATTGCCATGTCTGGCCTTGACTGTGCAGTTCACCTTTCTGAGCCCTGAGAGTGGCCAGGATTGCAGAGCTCTGCTACCAGACCAGACTAATCATCTACTTAACTATTAATAATTCATCAGCATCAACTGCAGTGGGAGAGATGGAGCACTGACAGCAATGCTCTGCT